TGAAGTATGTGTGCGTACTATGCACCCACAGAAAAGAACAACATCCAAAACAAATTGGATTAAGTAAGAGCGAGTGTCAGCACTAGTAAGCACTGTGATTCTACCGGATATGAACCCGACACAGCCTTTGTACTTAGCGGGAAGAGGATGCAGTGCTTCGATGACATCTCGCATCGTTTCAAGGAGATTGGCATCATCAGATCAGCAGATAGCCAACAGATTAACTATTCATTATCGAAATGAGAAATGACTCTTTGCTCTGGGTGTCGTCATAAACTGATCAGAAAATAAAAACAAGTAAAACATCAAAAACAATTAATTAAAATCAGTCTGGCTTTTCGGTCCCTGCTGAACACCATAATAAAATGTTCCGCAGAAAGACTGCTCATACGTCATTCGACCACTTCCTTGTAATAATTGCTTACTGAGCTCCTCTGGCTCCATTCGTGGAGTGAATGTAGCAGAATGATAGTTCATTTCAAAGCGAGTTTTACCTGCGCTGGTTACTGATCACGCTTGAAGAGGTGAAGAAGAGACAGGAAAGAATTATACTTTTCGATTAAAGCCGCTCCTCTCACTGTCCCTCTGAGGAATCTACGAAGTATGTACTGATGAATTCTTGGAGCGTTGATCAATCCCGTCTGAGGGATGCCCCCCTCCCCACTCGACTTCCGTTTAGAATTTAGTGGCTAATGGAGCGTATGTGACCGACTCCAGAAGAATGGAAGGCTTGGTTGGTCTAGGCGGATACCGGTCCGGGATTCGGAACCGTGACCATACGTGTGAGGTAGTGCGACACCTGCCACTATGCCGCCTCCGCCTTCCACATCAAAAGTGCAGGGAATAAAGTTTTAGCCCTTAATCAATCCTGCCTCTGAGATTGGACTTCCACTTGCCAGTAAGCTGTGAAGTAGTCAAATCAGTTCTTCTACCCTCCCAGACATGTTTGGTCCATTTAAACGACTCTAGGGGATGGAGGGCCTAGTGGAGTCGCCTTAGCGAACACCATTCCGGGATGTGCCATACCGCGCCCCCTACATCACCTCCGCACTCCTTTATAGCAATCTCGCCACAATAATCACATTGGATCGAACCGCTTTTGGAAACCTCCAATTGGGATACTCGGGAGGTATCCGAAGGGGAAAAACTGTGAGATCCATAAATTCAGTCTGAGCAATTTATTCTAACAGAAGCGCATTTGACGGACTTTTGCGGACTTCCAAG